GGATGCCTCTGGCATTTTGTTTATGCCCTACGTTTGTGTATCGTGCAGTACTGGCGCTCTGTATCTGATGGCTGTTTCAGATCTTTGTAATCCTTTTTTTCTCTGGCCTGCTTTGGGGCCATAGCCTCATTTTAGTAGGAATCACATATCCCCTGTGCTTGGTCACAAGCATATAACTGAGCTGGCTTTTGGGCAGAGTGGAGGGCAGTTGCTAGATCATTGTGCATGAATTAACCCATTGCATGTGGGCTTTGCATGTAGGAAAAGGATGGGTTGATACTTTGTCTTTAAGGATGGGAGGGTGTATGCAAACACTGAGCACTACACTTTTAAAATGTGAATTGGTGGGGGGAGCAGCCCCATAATGTCCTAGGGATTGGGATGATTTCCCTTCTCTAGTACTGCTAGCAGATTAGCCTCATCCACAACTGTCTCTGTGGTATGGCTTCTCAGCCCAGAGCTGGCTGTGACACTTAATAGATCTGAAGGGTGGCAGCATTTTGGGCTTGTGCAATGCTGCTGGAGGCTCCAAGCCTCCAAAATATCCTGTGGACGGCCTGGCCTTTGTCATAATGGTCACAGCCTTGGGCTTTCATAGAAACTACTGTGGTTGCTGGTGCTAATAAAATCTCTACTGCCATGCTGGCAGGCAGCAGCCATCTCATGGGTTAGCACAGAGAGTGCAGAAGGAGTGAGAGTAACTGTTTGAGCTGTGCATTCCTACTGCTGTGCTGTGTCTTCTCGTTCTGCAGGTCCCTGCTCCAGACGTCTCTGGGGATCTTGCCCAGAACATTAGTTTCATTCACAGGCTTTTCTGGCCTTTGGTGTTTCTTGTGTTAGTCCAGACTAGTTACAGTGGCTGGTCTCAGGTCTGCAGAAAGAAACCCCTTTCACAGCACAATCTGGCTGAAGTGAATGGCAGACAAGTTTGTCAGCTCCCAGATGATTCTCACTAATGTTTTTGTGCGCCCTCACCAGTGTTGTGATTGCTGTGATGACGTGTTAATTCTGTGCCTGCTGGCCTATAAGCTTCCTGCTACCCAGTAAGTGTGGAGATTCAAGGAGCTGAAACACTGGCTAAGGTGACGATGTTACAGGAGATGCTGAGATTGCATTGTGAGAGAGAAAAGTTACCCAACTTGCATGGTGGTTTCTGGTCTAGCAATTTTACCCTGAACCAGGACACGGACTGTCTTGGTATCAGCCAGCTGAGTAGTGTTTACAGCTCCCAGTTTTCCTATGCTTGCCTTGTCAGAACAGGTGAGGGAGAGTCCCAGGCAGAGCCCAGCAATGAAGACTACCCTTTAGGATGTTATGTGAGACTCACTCTTCCTCTGTAAGAATCTCACATCTGTTTTCCTCCCTGTGCAGGATTCCTTGACGGATGCAGAAAGGATGAAGTAAGTGTCCTGTTCCCCCGTTACGCCCGTTGTGCTGCAACTGTGTGGGTACCAATTCTTCACCTCCTGCTTCTGCCGCTTGCACAGCACAACTGACCGGTCCTGTGGGTTCCCCTCAGAGTTTGAAGTTTCTTGGGGCCACGTGGGCAGAGCTTTAGTCTGCCTTGTCAGCATCTGGCTTGCATGTCTGCCTTCCCTGGAGGGAGGACACACAGCTCCCCGGTGCAGGTGCAGGCAGAGCAGTTGGTGGGTGTGGAAGAAAATAGGAGATGAAGCCTTCAATACAGATGGAGACAGCAGTGTCTCTCTTAACCTTTCTTGTAGCCAGTGTTCTGGTGTGAGGCACTAGGAGCAGCTGCTGGTGGTGTGGGGACAGACAGCTGCTAGCCCTCTGTTCCAAGCCATGGCGATGAGTGAGCTCGGACTGCCAGAGAAGCTGTATTTCTGATTTTTTCTGAGCGACTGAGCACTAAGGAATGAAAAGCAACAGGAAATGCTTCTGACCACCAGGCCTGTCCTGGCTGGGGAGGAGCAGAGCAGTTAATGTTGGAGTGGGGTTGCCCGGCAGCTGTGATCATATCTCCCTTTGCACCCCATCACCTCTGCTCCTGGGCTCAGGATGTGTGGGGGTGCTCTTTCCACCACATGTTAAAACTGTGAGGGCTTTTGAACTGCTCAGGGAGAGCAGAAAGGGGTTTCAGTCTTCTGCCTTCAACTTCTCCAGCCTGGACTGGGATTAATTATTGAGTGGGTTTCACTCACCAGTGAGAGACACTGAAGCCAAACAGCCCATCTGGCTAGTGGGCTTTATCCCAGCGCTGTAACATGAGAGGTTGCTGATAACACGGCTGGCCGGCTAGCGCATGCTTCTCTGCCTCTGCTCCTTGAGGGTTTGAGTCTTCCCTTCCCAAGAATGGTGCACCTCTCACTGTGTGGGCTGGAGTCTCCTGCCAATTCAGTGCCTGACTTCCCCGAAACCCTGTGGGGTCCTGGGCCCTAGAGCAGGGCAGGGGCACGGCTCTGGCATAGAGACTCCCTAGTGCTCTCAGTGGTACCTTGCGCCTCTGTGCCCCAGGCTACTGCAGCATGAGAATGAGGAACTGCGCCGACGGCTGACCTATGTGACTAACAAAATGGAGGCGATGGAGAGGGAGCTGGAGTCGGGTCAGGACTACCTGGAGATGGAGCTGGGCCAGAACCGTGAGGAGCTGGAGAAATTCAAGGACAAATTCCGTAGGTATGGAAAAGAAAACAAGAGAGGGATAGAGCTAGAGATACCTAGGACTCTCGCTCAGCTGGCTTGAGTAGGCTGTGCCCTGTTGTGTTGATCTGAGGCAGGCTATATCCTCAGAGAGATACTCCCTCAGACTGTAGGTAAGGGCTCTACAGCTATTGCTTGGTGCAGCTTCCTCTAGGGTACGGTGTAGGAACACTATGTGCCTTGAGGGGTTGACTGCAGCAGGGAATTCTTCATCTATTGGATGTAAAGCAGCATTGGGCTTGTACATTTAACTGGCACGCGAAGAGCCACTGATGGCGGCAGATAATTGCATCGTGACTTTACCTAGAAAACAGTGGCTCAGCTAGAGATAATTGCCCATCATTGATCACATGCCGATATACAGCATATCTCAGAGGAGTACTCCAAAGTCATTTAGACTCGTCACTGCAAGAGCCTGGAAGGTCACTAGGCCAGCCTTGCCTCTCCTCTGGTAACTTGGGGTCTGAAGGCCATCATGTGCTAGAAGTGAGGCATAAGGTGCCCGGTTGTCTCAGTAACGCAAGTACCAGTCTTTCTGGACTTGTGGAGTTGGTGGTTTGCTTGGCAGCTATGAAGGGGACATCAGTTGCTGCCTCAGATCCATTCCCACGTGGGCACTTCTGTTTGTGTAGGTTGCAAAACAGCTACACTGCTTCCCAGAGAACCAACCAAGACCTGGAGGAGAAGCTGCATGCCTTGGTAAGTGCCCTGTTAAGCCTTTTCAGAGGTGGATGAGACCTGTGTGTTAGGAGCATATGGGGGAAGGGACCCTGGCTTTACTGAGTGATGTGGCAGCGGGTGTCAATGAGATTCTGGCCATGACCACCTACTTCTCCCCTCAAAAAAAAAAAAAAAAAAAAAATCCCAACCAGGTGTCATGAGCGGGTTACTTGGTTTGCTTATCCCCCGCTTGATCATGCACGTAAGCTTGGTTCCCCATTACATAATCGCATGGTATTCCGTCATGTTGCTTTAGTCCCTCTTGAAATGCCAGGGATATGTCAGCATGTCTTGGGATGGTTGTCCTGGGAGGACAGTGGGGTGGTCAGAGCAAAGCCAACATGCGTGTGTCTGTTGTGTGCATTCATAACACTCATGGCTGTTTCTTTTCTCTCCTTCCCCCTTCCCTTTCCCTCTTTCTCTTTCTCTCTCCCCTCCCCATGCTGCTGCTGGCACACGCTGGGCGCACTCACCTCTCAGGCCTCTCTCAGCCAAAGCTGGATTTTTGCAGTTGCGTCTTTTTGTTTGTGTATCTTTTTTTTCCTCTTTTCCTGTCTCAGCCTGTTGGTTTCATTGTCAGTCCCACATGTACCATCTCAGATGGAGGGGCCCCAGCCCTCGTCCAGCCAAGGGCTCACCTGGTATCCAGCAGCTGCCCGCAGATGCAGCAGGTCCTAGCTTGCAGTGCTCCATCTTAAGAGCATTTGACTGTGAGCCAGCTGGAGCGTGGTGTGCTGGGAAGCAGTGCCCATGTGCCGTGGCGCTGCGCAAGATGTGGAAGGCTGTGGGCCTCATTTGCTCCCTTTCCTTCCTCTTCTGGGCTGTGAGCGGGCCAGTTGAACAGCTGAGGTGCTGATTGCCTCCATGTAGTGCAGGATGCTTGTTTGGTTCTAGCATCGAGCTTCTTGGGTTAATGTTCATTGTGATGGTGCCTAAAGGGGCCGCACATATTTGGGAAACATCCTCCTCCCCTTACCTCTTGTGTGTGGCTGTGCTGTGCTATTGCTGTGCACAGCTGGGCCCTGGTGATCACAGCCTCAGAGCAGGCTGGGGCATTGTGGGAGGAATTGATTGAGAAGGGGGTGGTTTGGTTGCTCTGAGCTGTTGCCACTCTCTGCTCCTACATTCATGTATCTATCTGCCCTGTACCCAAGGTCTTAGAGAGTTTAAAGAGGAGAGATCACCTGCTGTGGGGAGAGCACTAACCGAGCTCTGGATGAAGCTGCACAGGTTCTCTTTCTTACTAGAGCAAGTTTTGAGCTCTTCCAAGATGGTGCCCTGTCCCTGCCGAGGCATACCTCTTGTCTACTCAGCATTAACTACTGGGTCTTTATGGGCAGTATTCTCATTTTGTTGCCCCAGATCAGAGGGGTGGGTGTCACAAGTTCAGAGTCTTTACTGCTGATGGCAGCATGGGAGTGGCATCCAGCCACTCCAAAACCACTATGCTTCTCTAGAGGAGCATCAGAGCTAGCTCTCCACTGGGCACCCTGCACACCAGGGCAGAGAGGAAACGTGGTGATGCTGCAAGAAGAGGTACTGCATTAGAGTTTGAAACCCACCTGTTACCTCTGGGACTAGCAAAGTGGCTGGCCCCACTGGCCTTGGGAGTCCCTCGCTGAGTAAAAAGCCAGGCTGTCCCCCTTGTCTGTCTGTCTGTTCAGAAGTTTTTTGTATCTTTGTATCTGAGCTGAACGTGTCATTGTGCTATGCTTGGGGTGAGGTGGGCTGTGAAGCCAGGCACTTCTGTGCTGGTGAGACTTAAACCTGGTGTTTTTACATCCCAGATAAAAAAGGCAGAGATGGACCGCAAGACGCTGGACTGGGAGATTGTAGAGCTCACTAATAAGCTGCTCGATGCCAAAACCACCATCAATAAGCTGGAGGAGCTCAATGTAAGTGTAAGTCTGCAAATAGTGGTGGATGTGTGTGAGATACGGGGTTTTCCCTCTCGTTCCAAGTCGTTAGTGGGAGTGTAAAGAAGCATGTGAATGACTTCAGTGTGTATGAAAGTGGGAGATGCACGGAGCAGTAGGCGCAAGCAAACAGAAAAGGGCCTGAGGGGGTGAGCAAGGAAGAGCTGATCTTCAAGTTTGATATGCTTGCTCTTTTGGTCTTTGAGCAGTAGGTCTGACCTGAATTCAGACTGCACCAGTTGAGATGATAGAGTTGGGAAGGGGCTGATGCCTTTTCCACAGCATTAATGTAGCATTAACTGATCTGGTGCTCGTTGGCTGCTCTCAGTTTCCTCCAGCCTGGCTGCAAGTTGCTAGAAATCAGGCAGGGTCTACAGAAATGGCTGAGAGCTCTGGGATGGGATAGCAAATCTGATGGGACTTTAGGAGGGGTACACAAACAGCCCAGAGAGAGAGAGGTTTGATACACTGACAGAGCATATGCCTGGATCAAGGGGTTGGAATTGAAAGGGACTGCCTGGCTGCATTGTAAGGAAATACACTGGAGTTTGAAGCGCCTTGCGGTGGGATATGGAGAGGAGTGAGTGGTGAGTAGTGTCATGAGTGATTCATCAGATGTTCCCTTATGCTTCTGGTCAAGTGATACCTTTTAGGTTTAGAGACTAGGCCAGTATGACGGTGTTGCGTCCTTTGTGCCCTCTCTTGCAGGAGCGGTATCGGCAGGACTGTAACCTTGCAGTACAGCTGCTCAAGTGTAACAAGTCCCACTTCAGGAACCACAAGTTTGCTGATGTGAGTAGCAGTTCTGCTGAGGTGGGAGAGAAGGTCTCGCGGCCTCTGCTTGCCCTTTGCTTTGCTCCAGTTTTCTCTGCAGGGCAGTTGGCCTCTCCTCCCTTAGCCCTAGACAGAGGTGTGAGGGGGCTCCTACTCCCACAGAGAAGGCAGCACAGAGCCTCTGCCAGCTCCTCTTTCACACCAGCTCCATTTCACAATTCAGCCAGGGGCTGTTATAAAAAGCACAATAACCTTGAATTTGATAGCCTGCTGGGTGCCTGATAGGAGCTGGCAGGAGAACAGACCTCTCTTTCCCCCCC